AATCGAAAAACCTCGGAATGTGTTAAAAACAAATACTTTGTAGCTGTTGTAGTTGGAGTTTGTACTTTGTAGTTGGAGTTTTCAGGACTTGTACAAAGGTGATGTCTTCTCGACTGGTTTAGTTATTTGGGAGCTAATCGAGAGAAGGTTTGATGGTTGTGAATTGAGAAAGTTTAACCAAAAAAATAGGAATCTCACGGAACCAGTTGAATTCATCAGTTTCTCTCCAACTAGTTGCTCGAATGTTAAAAAAGTTCAACTACTTGTCATCAGGTAAGAGTTGTTGTTGTTAAGCAAATTATCTATCAACTCTCACCGACAATTTTTGCATCTGAATGTGTAATTCAGTGCTAAGTTATCTGATTCAGTGAGTGCTAAGTTATCTGAACCTTTTAGTAGGTTTACGTTGACAAAATTGAAGTTAATAGTTATTATTTTCAAGGAAAATGAAGTTTCGAAACGCATAAATCGCACAGTTTAGCTGTTCCTGTCCTCGAACAAAAATGATAAATCGATGGGGTATTGAGGAAGCGTTTAGAGAGGCTGTCAAGTTGAAGGAGGTATCCCAATCAACTCTTAAAACTTAAACCTTGATTTTAGATCTTCAACTTCAATGAGCAACCGGAACGACAAAGATTCCAACAATACTTAAAAGAACCCGATGGATTGTGCCTCAGTTCTTTGACAAAGGACTTCCTACCTTCTACTGTCCATTTCGATTCCGCAGATCAACGATCGACTATCGACGACAACGACTCAGCTGATCTGGCACCGAAGCGAGGGATCACTACAGCTTTTCAAATTTTTATTCAAGAATGGACATCGAAAATTCAACGAAAAACCAATTTCAGCCACTTGAACTTAAGAACGGAATCGAGGATTTCGAATGAGGATATCGAGTTGTACACGATGACATTCGGTGACTTGCGATCGAAGTACGACGATGTGAATGAAATAAGACGGATCGAGTGTGAGAAGTTCTATTCAGGACTCAAATTGGAAACTTTATCGTCGGAAGAGAAACAAGGTATCTTTGAGGAAATAAAAGAGGCTTTCGACGCTATCAGCAAAAAGTACAGCGACCGGGAAACCTTTTATGAGCATTCAATCAAAAAGGGCACCGTGGTAGCACGTTTGGAAAAGTCCAGGAAAATCGATTTGGAGAGTTTCTCTTCGTTAACTCTTTTCGACTTTCATCTACAAGATTTCTGTTTTAATTTTGCTGTTCATTGTCTATGGGAATGTGACTCGTTAAATCTTTCATGGTTTGAACTAAATGATCTCCTTCAAGTAGCCATTCACAAAATCGAATCCATCGAAAAACTATTCACTAGACGTCGCCAATTCCCATTGAAATATTTGCGTGACTCGCGTGCTGAATGGTGCATGGCTCCTTCGGATTACATTGTGTTTAAAAGGGATTTCGGAGACTTTCGCGAATTCGGTGAAATGAATCGTGGACTGAGAGCAACGGAGAAGCACTACACGGTAGACGTGGATGCAGTTCGAAGAGCATTATACGAAAAGATGAAAGACATTGAGAGATATGCATCAGAAGAGAAGAAGTCAATTCGAAAAGTTCCAAAAGCTATCGATGAGATCTTTGGATGGCTGAATCGAAATCATAACAAGCCGATGGACTGTTTGGGAATGGGTAGACATGAACGTGAAGGCAATCATTCAATGGGTGAAGTTTATGCAATTGATGGTGGGTATGGAATAGGAATGGGTATTGGTGCTGGCAATAGCCACTTTCATCGAGCCACTGCTTCCGGCTTATCGTGGGGATTGGGACAAGGGTCAATTATGGGCCATGAAGCTACAAAATTTGTCGAACAACCTTCGGGAGAGGAGATAATCAAGGAGAGCTTCACTATCGGTGCTCAATTCCCAGGTTATGTTTACTTTTGGAATGTCTTACCAGCTGATCGATTTACTCAAAATTGTATTTGCTCACCGTCTTGTCAAATTGAACGATTCCCTGACAATGCCCCAAATGAGTCCTCGCAGGTCACATATCATAACTGCCAACAAACGGATCAACAAGAGTTCCTCGTCACTCATCGTCTCTTTGAAACAGCTTTTCGATTACTTCATCAATGGGAAACAATTGATACGCATCAATATACACACTTGTATTTGGTTGAAAAGTTATTGAATAAGATCGCAGAGGCTTCAAATGGATCAAATGGATCAAATGGATCAAATGGATCAAATGGATCAAATGGTTTTCATTTTTTACACGTCATTGAGAGAGATTCTCCTTGGCCGGATCGGGAAATGATGACTTGTCATCGAAAAAGTGTCCGCAATGCGGCCAGATACGGGCTGCTCATCGGACTACAAATGGACACCGAGAACTCATTTTGCACGAGAGATTTCCATTTAGAGGACATCTCGCAGTTCTGTTTTATTGAAGTCATAGGACTTGTTTATATAACATTGAACGAAATCGGTGAACTTATCGAGAAGATGAGCCAGTTTTTGAAGAAACTTTTCAAAAGTGAGTCACTTGTATTCTTTAGAGAATCTTTTTGACTTTAAACATACAACATTTTTTGAATAGATATTCAGGCAAAGTATTGTCTCTATTAGAAGCAGAATAGATATTCAGGCTATTAGAATAGATATTCAGACAATGTATTGCCTCTATTAGGAGCAGAATAGATATTCAGGCTATTAGAATAGATATTCAGGCAAAGTCTTATCTGTATTAGAAGCAGTACTTCTAAAATGTGAACAATTTAGAAATCTATCGTAGTTTTTCCCTTAGATTTTGCCCGATCAACTTGATTTTAATCTCAACAAAGGCACATCAGACTCCTCATCGAATGAGATCAAAATCAAGTTGAAGGAAAAACTATGATTGATTGTTCACTTTTAGAAAAAATGCGACTTCTATTAGACTCTAATAGAGGCAATACGGTAACTAATGGGACATTGGATTTTTGTTTCAATTTGAGAAATTCAAGTAAGTTTAGCACGGCGTAGAGAAAACGACAAAAGTGACCGCCACGATCTCGAAAAATATCGCAAAGAAATGAAGGATTTGATTGAAAAATTTTGGGATAAGCGACAGATTATACGAGTAAAAACCAAATGCAAGGCACAAATTGTGTTGGCAAATGAGAATTCATTTTTTAATTAGAAAACTTTAATTGAATAAATATTATGAAAATCTTATGGAACAAATATGCCAATTGAAAAACAAATAACACTTTCCTTTTTAAAGCTTCTCCGGGAGTGGGACATTTGCGCACCTTTTTTTCCGAACGAGCCCATTAGCGCACCTTTTTTCGCGTTTTAAAAAGCTCTAAAAGCTAATATTAACCAATTTCTATTCCAAAAGTTGTTTTTCTAGGTAATTTTAGGGCGTAGAATCGAAATTTTGGCATATCAGAGCTTGTGGAAACAAACGGACGGAGTTATACAAAGAGAAAAATCAACAATTTTCTGTAATTTGACCTAGCCGTTTTGTCTATCAAATTGGTTTCACACGCTCTGTTATGTCAAAATTTGAATTCGACACCCTCAAATTACCTAGAAAAACAACTTTTGGAATGGAAATTGGTTAATATTAGCTTTTAGAGCTTTTTAAAACGCGAAAAAAGGTGCGCTAATGGGCTCGTTCGGAAAAAAAGGTGCGCAAATGTCCGGGTGCGCAAAAAAAAGGTCGCATTTGTCCCACTCCCAGCTTCTCCAGTTTTTCATCAAGTTCAACCAATTTTTTTGGACATTTACGTGTTTCTGTTTATGAGGGTACATTTTTGATGATGAAGATCCTGTTTGAAACACGTCAAACTTTTGTGGTTGCTGGAGACCATTTTTTGAGCAAACTTTGTGGTTGACGACTTTTTTTTCTAGCTCTTTCAAACTTTTCCGAACTTTCAAGTGCAATCAATGCTGCATTTATTGAAGACAGTCGTTCTAAACTTTCTTGAAACTATTGAAGACAGTCTAAAAGTCGTTCTAAACTTTCTTGAAAGTTTGATAAGGGTTTGAGCAGTTAGAAATAAAATGGTAAACCAAATGTGGTCCCATCGAGCACCAAACCAAACACAACAATTTTCTTGGTCTTGCATTAAACAGTTCCACCGTTATGAAATTTATCTAAGGAAAATCCGCTTGAAATGCCGAATTTGGCTCGTTGCAATCAAGTCGAAAATTTGAGTGGATTTGAATGTGGATTTGAGTTGATTAGAGTGATTTGAATCAAGAATCCATCATTTAAATCCAAATTTAAGGGATATTTCAAGTGTCCCCCACAAGTGCTATCCCATTTCGCCAACGACGAGGATCTGAAAAGCTATTCATCCTGCAGTTATTCCACAACCTTTTGAATTCATTCTTTCTGTTGTTTTTTATTTGGTACTATGAATCACACTACCCGTTTTTTTATTCTATTTAGCATGTAGCACATCTATTGTCATCACACTGGTCATACAGTTGTACTTAATACACACTTTTGAATGCAAATGAACTCATAACCCACCGGGGTGGGTCATGAAGTTTCTCGCTTTGTCGTTGCCGTAACTTTCTTCAAAACGAATATTTTTCCAATCTGTTTTCAGTTAAATGAGCTTTGATTATTTTTTGTTTCTTTATTCCGACACCAAAAATAAGTACCGCAAATACTGTAATAGTACCCCACCCTCCTCGTACAGTCGCGTAGTCGCAAAAGTTTTTTAGTATTTCATTTTTTTCAAAGCGCCCGTACTTACAAAAAACGCGTCTTTGGTATCAAAAAATAGCTGAAATTCAGGGCTATTTTTTGATACCTAAGCGCGCATTTTAGCATAAACCAGTGTCGAGAAAAACTCGTTCAAAGCTACACTACGCAACACTCCGCACCGTCATTATGGGGGTGGGGTACTATTACAGTATTTACGGTATCTTGTTGACTATAAACTCTTTTAGACTGGGTGCAAGGCGAAAAATCTAAAAAAATCGGATATTTTAAAATGACTAGTGTAATCAAATAGTAAAAAAGTAAAAAATCAGAAGATGAGGCTGCACTCTAGGATCTCTTGCAGACAGAACTTGTCACAACTAGCATCATCCCATTGTCCTTGCACAAACCAACTTGAAGGCGATGCACCGGATGGAGAGGCTAGAGCCTGAAAAATTATTCATAATGTGGAAAAATTATTCACAATACAGGGTGTCCAGAAATTATAGAGAAGGCTCCTTTTCAACGATGTTGGATTTTCATTTTTCATTAAAGCGCTTGAAATTTTAAAGCCTTTTGGCACAAATTTAGGTGGTTCAATTTCAAGTGAACTTGTTCTGTAGAGCTTCAAAGTTAAAGTTGACATCGCTGTTAAAAGAAGTTCCCTCCAACCTGTAAACGGCATAAACGTCATAGCCGTAAAAACCTCTACTAAGCTCACACCGCTTTGATACAAGCGTGAGTGTGAGTTGAAATTTGTTACCGTAAATACTCTAATAGAAGCACCCCCTATAGGAGCGTCGCGTAGTTTAAGTTTACTCTCAAACAAACGCTCATATCTCGACACCAGTGCCTTTGTTTCTGCGCGTGTAGGTATCAAATTAAAGTAGAGAGGATGGATGATTTTTTGAGATAGAACACTTATTTTTAGCGTTAACCAGCGCTTAGAAAAAAGGATTGAAAAGTGGCAAAAAGTTGTCACCCAAGAGCGCGTTTTTTTTACGTTTTGTAGAATGTACAAGATTTTTTTTCGTTTCTTCCGGGAAAATGATGAAGCGATCGTTTAACGAGATTATTTTGAGGAAAAAAAGCAATATGAATGCCGTTTCAAATTTAAATGTAGATGCTTAGTTTTTTGTACATTCAATTTAAGCCTTAGCTGGTAAACACTCGGTCTATTATTGCGAAACCATCAATTATTATGAGAGGATTTAAACTGGACAATCAAGCGACAAGTGCAAACAATTTTTTAGTAACAGAACCGTTTATGTTTAGATAAATTTCGATTGTATGACTCCGTTGTTGATGGAAGTTATTTGGGATCAAGTTTTTGATTTATGTAAACCGCGAGTACAATTTCGATAGATGGAACGTTTAAAATCACTTCCAAAACTAAGTCCCAACAGCTGTGGATTATTTCCACAAAGATAACAGAAGTAATGCATACACTTTTCATTGAATTCAGGTGTTCGGTGTTAGCTTTGTGCCAACTGCTTTTGCTTTTATGGTAAAACGCACGGAAGAAGATTGCATTCAAGTTTTATCACAAGTCGTGGTAGCTGCTGCTAAAATTGGAGAAGTTCTCTGTCCGCTTGGGTTTTAGCAGATAAGATCTATAACTTACGGAAGTTTTTAACAAATTTCAACGCATATTTGTGCATCCCCTAACGGGGACGCGTTCCAAAATTTTTTTCGAGACACCGTTGAAAGGTCTCGGGGTTAATGCTAACCTCAAACTTGGGTAATTAAACCGAAGAGTGAGGCCTCTGTCGCGCTATGTGGACCGGTCGTATGCCAGATGCCACTTTTTCCTACGTGACACACGAAAAGTACACACGGTCGTGTCGTCTCGCGTCTCTGCGAGGGCTGATGTTCTCTCGTGTTCTCGAGCCTATTTCACTCGTCTCTCATCTCGCCGCATATTTGTCCGAATGACGAGTGAAATAGGCTCGAGAACACGAGAGAACATCAGCCCTCGCAGAGACACGAGACGACACGACTGTGTGTACTTTTCGTGTATCTCGTAAGAAAAAGTGACATCTGGCATACGGCCGGTCCAGATAGGCCGACACAGACCTCACTCTTTGGTTTAATTACCCAAGTTTGAGGTTAGCATTAACCCCGAGACCTTGCAAATAGTGTCTCGAAAAAATTTTGGATCGCGTCCCCGTTAGGGGATGCACAAATAAACTAGAAATGTGAAATGGCTTGGAGTCTTGATTTTATCATTCATAGGTTATCAAAGAGGAGGGTTGATCCACTTTCAAGGAAACGGTGGATAAGCGAGTGTTGGACGGGGAAAGACAACTGATTTTCAAACATGCGCCTCTAGAGTTTCCTATAGAAAATCACCCACATGATAGTGTTGGCCCGATCCGGCATTGTCCGGATTTGGCGGGCTCCAAGCAGTGAAATCCCAGCCCGATCCGTCACTCCACTTCCAATTGCCAGCAGCAGATCCGGTCTGAAATTGAAGCAAATTTTATGATTAGTCTTGCTGTCCTACTTGTCAAAAACAACACGTGAAAGTTTTTGTCTTCTTTTCAAAGAACTCACTCGTTGCCCACCGATCAGCGTTTGTCCACCGGCATTTCCGTTTGGTGTATTGGCAAGACTTAAAAGACTTACGATATCCGACTAGTTGATCAATTATTTATGGGCATCTTTTTTTTGTTTTTACAACTCACTCATGATGTACGCATTCTCAGCAGTCGAATGCACCGATGCGAGTTGCTCGCCAGCTGCCTGACACAGTGCGTTTCCTGTGATTCTCAAACACAGCTAGTCGAAATGGCAACGAGTCCGACTCAACTTTTGAACAGTTTCTTCTACATAAACCTCCTTTGGTGTCTTCATAAAAAAGATAGAGCAACTCAATTACATAAGTTGCCAAAGTTTCCAACTATTTTTAACTTCTACAAAGTATCCTCAATTTTTGCTGCGCTATAAAACTAAATACAGTATTGGATTTCCCAATAGCTTCAAGAGCTATTGGGCTTCAAGAGCTATTGGGTTAATTAGTGTCAAGTTTTCATCAATGAATAAAAGAAATTTGGTCTGTTTGATCACAGAAAAGAAAAAATCAAGTAAATAGTTGCTCTAAGTAGTCCTTTAACAATGGCGTTTGCGTCTTCTTGCCATCAAAATCTCATACCTCCCGTTTGGGTCATTCCCTTGTGACACAAAAACGAGGGACATTTGATACGCGCCCTGCCCTTTTGCCATTGGCAACCCAACCTTTTGCCATTGGCAATCCAACTTTGAGCTCAAATTTCTTGGTGTTGAGCTATAAAATTTAAATATTCTTGGTATGATTGGATGTGCGCGAAGTCTTTCTCTGTCGATTGATACAAAAACTATTTACAGGGTGGGTCAAAATTACCGTTACATATAAAAAAGTCTCTGTATAAAAAGCAACTCAAAAGGGCAAAGATTTTTCTTAAAAATAACTTTTATTTTCTCATAACAACTTATAGAAACTATTCTTTTTTCAAACAGATCTCCAATAGCTTTTACACAGGCGTCCAAACATCGTAGAAAAGCGTCGATCGTGGCGAGAAGGTATAGGAGAGCCAGCTCTTCCCGAGCCAGCTCCTCTTCCCGAGCCAGCTCCTCTTCCCGAGCCAGCTCTTCCCAGCCTTTTCGAGCGCTTTTTTCAAACTATCAACAGTTTTGTGTGGTTGATAGCGTCAACTGATAGCATTTGTGATTTGTTTTTCTTGTAGGCCTTTAACTTGAGCTTGTTTTTGATGATTCTTCTAAGGGATTTTCGCTCTATATCCCCATTTTTTGTGACATTTTCCGCACCCATTAGTTTGGCGTTTTCAACAGGCGATTCCTCACTTTTTTTTTACATTTGCTGAAGTGTTACCGTTCGCTTTCTTCCATTTCGCTTTCGCATTTGCGCGTGAGTGAGCATTGTAACGGTAATTTTGGCCCACTCTGTACATTGGATATCTCAACACCAAGAAATTTGAGCTTAAAGTTAGATTGCCAATGGCGGGGCATTTCCGATAAGCAATTTAGAATAATCTCAACCTCTCAACCAAGAGAAAAGCCAATCAGAATCATGAAAAGTTTCTCACTTTGTATAGACGAAATCGGCGATGATTTGAGACAATTTTCCCGAGAAACTTCGACCCCAATCAAGTTCATTTTTTCTAAAACAAAGCTCATCATTTTTGTCTTCTCTATCTCTATGTACTTTAAGCACAAAACCCTTTCTGTTACACACGATTCTCCAATTTTCTTCTAGAAACGACAAATTCAGTGCACCAGAAAGGAAGCGTTTCCATTTTGCGCACTTTATAAGCATTGCTTTAGGCTTTTAGTCTCACGTGAAATTCCCCGCAACTCCAACGATTTCTTTAGAATCGAAAACGATTCCGAGATCAACTCCATGATCAGTGCAATATTTCCCATCAGCACCTCCTAAAAGTCTTATTTTCATGCAATCTCTCTGCAATTTCTCACCAAGTTCTTCATCATAAACATTATTCAATAATGTGTAAACAGTAATGTTTCGATCAGCATAGAAAAGTGCTTCGTGATGAGCTTCTGACGTGATTTCTTCTGAAATCAAAAGAAAAAGGAAATTATTGGGTTGGTGAGTTGAAAATGCCGGACTTTGAACTAAAATTTATTCAACATAAAACCATGAATTTACTCAAAATAATTTCCATAATTATTGACGACTTCTGCCCATTTTACAGGCAATTTGCGGATTCCTCTTTCTTCGTAGGATTTTGGTTTGTGTGTGAGACAAGTGTGAGACTCAAAAATGGAGGACTGGAGATATCCCAGTTTGAGCACTTTCTTCAAAAGAAACCCATTTTGGTGTCAATAGAAAAGTTGTAGAGAATCAAAAATGAGGCTTATAGCCAAATTTCCAAAGAGATACACTTAGTAGTTTCGCTTAAAATGCAAATTTTGTGAAAATTCGTAAATTTGACATTTCTTGAAAACCAGTTTTTGAATCGTTCTGAAAATCTGGATATAAGTTTGATTTTTGATTCTCTACAACTTTTCCATTGACACCAAAATGGGTTTCTTTTGGAGAAAGTGTGAGAACTGTCACATATGACAATAGTCCGCAGTTTTCAATTCACCAGCCCAATACTTTTCGAAAATGATCGCTTTCTATGCAGTCAATTTCCCAAAAATTAAACGAAGTGGAAAACTTTTTATATCAAAATGTAGAGGAGATTTTCAGCTTTCAAATAGAAGATAACACTTAGATATCCGTTTGATATCTTGAGAAATCTATAAAAAGAGTAAAAACATTGTATAGTTAATAATAGTTCAGGCTTTATCTTTACTTAATTTCATTTACTGTCTGCTACTCAATGCTGATCAGCACGAAATCTGACCTTCAGCCATTTTGTGATACTGAATCCCTCTCTCACTTGGACTATTTAGCTCACTCTGTAGATATCTGAAGCTAGTTTTATCAAAACTTTTCTTTAGCTAGGTTCGTTTTTCTAGAAAGCACTTGCAAACATTGGCTAAATGAAATTTAACTTTGAACTATTTAAGGTTTAAACCCGTTATAATAAAGTAAAGAATGGTAAAGAAAGATTTCCAGAGAGGGGATTGAACCCTCGACCTTTTTCTTTTCCTGGCAGATGCTCTAACCACTAAGCTATTTGGTGTCTTCTTGCCAGAGAACAAAGAGGAAATAGAAGGGGGAAGAGAAAGGAAGTGAAAGGAAGTGATCAAATAAAATCGGTGTTTAGTCATATCAAGCTTTACGTAAGCTTTTTTTACTTATCAAGTGATTGTGATTGACCTCTCGGCGAGTAGCAATCGAATAGTGCTCGATCCGTTGTATCGCATTGGGACAATCGCGTTCACCCATGCCTCTTTCCCGAAAGCTGATAGTTCTCTGGCTGAGAAGTTGAAGTAGAACTTTTTATGTGAGAGTGGTTAAAATCTCAATTTGATTGACAAAAAAATTGATCAAATAATTGATTGCAAGATTTTAAGCTCTGCTTTAAATCTTGCAACCAATTATCTTGCAACCAAAGCGATTTGATTTGATAGCTTTAAGATTGCAGATAAGACAAGATAAGATGCAAGATTTTAATTCTGCTTTAATTCTGCTTTAAATCTTGCAACCAATTATCTTGCAACCAAAGCTAAGCAGAGCTTAAAATCTTGCATCTTATCTTGTCTTATCTGCAATCTTAAAGCTATCAAATCGCGAATTAAAACCTGCTTCTCTAAAATCAATCTTATCTTAAGCTCAATAAAATAGATTCAGAAATAAAAATGAGACCGATTTTCCGCATTAATGACATTCTCTCGTGAGCTGTGTTGCTGATCAAAACGGGTAAATGAGCGTTGGCTCTAAAATTCTGACTCTGATGAGACTAGTGTACTAGACATGGATGAGACTAGTGTACTAGACATTCTCTCGTGAGCGATGTTGCTGATCAAAACGGGTAAATGAGCGTTGGCTCTGAAATTCTGACTCTGATGAGACTAGTGTACTAGACATGGGAAAATTCCAATCCCAACCTAATTCCACCTTCGTTTTCTCGACCGTTTCTTGGCCGATTACTTTGAAATTTAGTCTACAAGCTGGAAATGTCGGTTTCTATCTGTAGGCAAAGTTTCAGAGCAATCGGCTAAGAATCGGCGAAGAAAACAACGGTGGAAGTAGGTTCGAGTTGGAATTTCCCCAATTCCTATGGGGTACAGGTGTGTGTCCCGTTCTAGAGTTTATTTTTTATTAGTTCATTAAAATAATTGAAAAACTGAAGTAAAATTTGAAAAAAGATAGTAAACATAGTATTGGCGCATCGCACAATAACTCCCACCTCAATTTTGCCCCCCACTGTGGAAGCAAAATCCTGACTTCAGTGACTACACCTCAAATCACCGCAACCGCAATTATACCCCCATCCATTTTTCGACTTTATATACTGGGGGCAACACTGCGGTTGGGGATTTTGCGGTTCTCCAAGAAAAAAGCTTGATGCAAGCTGCATTATGATCAAAACTAGAGCAAGTGAATTACTGTCATTTACTGTCTGCTACTCAATGCTGATCAGCGCGAAATCGCGAGTAAGTAGTTAGCTCCCATTCTGCTCCGAGTTTTCTAAAGACCAAAGTTTGAATGTCGAGCAGTGGACGTTGAAAATTGATAACGATATTTATGAATTATGAATTACCTACTTTGAATTATAATACTTGCGCATTTCTAGGCTCATTGCATCATTGGATAAACTGAAGGGACTTTGGAGAAACGATTTACTACCACTCACTACTTCTAGAGTGTGTTCCTCGCGAGTAAGTAGTTACTCGATTAAAATTTGCATGAGTAATCTTTACTCGATTAATCGGCGTTTTTGTTCGATTAACTACGAGTAATCCTCTTTACACGTCGAGTAAATTGAATATCTTTACATTTGAAGGGAATTTCCCACCAAATCAGTTAAACGGCTGAATATCTTTAAGAAAGAGTCGTATATGGCTCGTGATTTTTGGCGCTCGTGATTTTCGTGGATTTTTGATTTTTGCTCGTGATTTTTGCACCAATTTTTTGCAATAATTTTCGCTAAAAGTACGGTAATTTTTCCTAAGCATGCCTTTTAAAGAAGGCATTATTCGCGAGGAACACACTCGCGAATAATGCCAATAATGGTTTTGAACACAATCAAAACCAACTTGACAACTACTTCCGGTTGATCGGGAAGGAAAGCCTCGTCTCCGCGAAAATCATCGATAATCGGAGTAAAGATCGTCATTCCCATGCGAATATTTTCATAGGTTATCTGAGAAATTTTATAGATGAACTGGAATTGGGTTCAATATTGAGGCTCAATATTCCTATAGAGTTCACAGTATAATAGAATTTGACAAGTTATAGAGTGAAGCTTGGCCTTTCTGAGTATCAAAATGACCTAAGAACAAACTAGATGACCTAAGAAGCCGTTTTTTAATAAACCGATTCAGTTCATTCATAAAAATCGAGTGTAATTCTTTTCTTGAACATTTTGTCTGCAGTAATCTAAAGCCTACAGTAATCTACAGTAATCTTTAGTATAATAGAATTTGACAAGTTATAGAGTGAAGCTTGGTCATTTTAGGGTTTTTTCAGATTCATTCAAAATTTATCTAACGGTCGAAGTGATTGACTTTTTTAATGGAAATCTGAGCATCACCTTCAGGAATGAGACTTGGCTTGAAAGGTATTTGTAAAATAAAGGGTTTTTGAGTTTAAAGTGGTGGAAAAGTTTTGGTTTTTTTTTGACAATAACTCTCTTTAAACTTAATATTTTTGCAAACGATTTCCTTTTTTAGAAACTAGAGCTAATTTGGCGTAGTTTTGTACCAGAATCAGCAAGATTGGTCCATGGACCAAGGAAAAAAAAATGCCGCCATTCGCTTTCAAATGATTTTAAAAGAATCAGGGCTGATTCTCCCATGCTGCTCAAAAATTCCAAGCCATCCAGTCAACATTTACAGGCAGACTGATCAATCGGCCACCACCTACAATGAAACTCGTGATAACATTGATGGAGTTAAAGTCAGTATTCAACCACATCTATATATTAGGTTGATGCATAAGTCTTTTCGTTCCTTTTCGTCTGCCGTTTCAAGCCAACAAATGCACCAATTAAACTACGGTTGATTTCATTAGAAAAACCAATTATTTTTCTGCAAAATGACATTAAAACGGGTTTAAAAATATTGAATGCCTGGATTTTCTTGAGAGTATGAAGTCGGGTAGTCAAAAAGGGCTAACTCGATGATGCGGTTTAGACACCTTAGCTAAAGAAAACCTATCTTCGTGTCAATAGATAAAAGATATAGAAAAAAAACGTTTGATATTTCGCCAAAATTTCAGAGAAATTCATTCAGCCAATTTTTCCGTAGAGTTTTTTATAGATTTTTACGAAAAAGGCGTTTTTCACTCTCGAATTTGCTTGAAAGTCAACCGAAATTCATTTAAAAAAATGCAAATTGAACAAAAAAACACTTTTTTTATAGAGCAAACTATAGATTAATTCGTGAATTTGTTACTTTTTAACAGAAGTACGAAAAAAACGAAAAGACTTATGCATCAACCTAATATATATATTAGTACTAAAGTTGTACATCACATTTCAGATACATTGGGCTCCGAACAAATCCCCGATCGATCTTCGAACTGGTTTCTTTGTCAGAGTTCATCTCAACAGGTATAAATAATGACAAGTGAAACAAAAATTCTTTCACCAGTTCATTTGTTATATTTATATTAGTGAATAAAAACTAAAAACTTTTCAATGTAATATCATCAATTAGAGCAGATTACTTGTGAAAGGACAAAAAACATTTCTTACAGCTCACAAGCTTGCCATGTGCCGAGCTTTTATTTTCTTTACATTAATAAAAGCCGCCATGGTTGACTGGTTGTTTATATTTTGCACACAACTTCTGCCAATTCATTATCTCATCTTTTAGCAGTGATCGACGTCATCAATTTCATCCAGAGTTTTTACGGTTCAATTTTCACGACTGGCTAAGAACTCTGTATCTTAGTCGAGAGGCCAAGGGTTCAATCTCACCGGCTAGATTATTAGTTCTTTCTTCATACAAATGGGTTTCTTTTCTTTCCTACATTTACGGCTTAGGGGTTGTGCTTGTATATTGTTTGTACCACATGATTCGTGTGAACAAATGTTATTAATCTTTATTAATCTTTATTAATCCCTCCTTGATTTCCAAGATGAAACTTCTCAATGCTGATTTCCCGATGTGACCCTTGATTCGACTCTCATTTTCTGACATCTAAATCTTTCGATCACAAAATGTCGATACGGTGCATAAATAGCCATCGTGGTGATCGTGAAAATTGAACCGTAAAAGCTCTGGATGAAATTGATGACGTCGATCACTGCTAAAAGATGAGATAATGAATTGGCAGAAGTTCTGTGCAAAATATAAACAACCCGTATTGCGAAACTTTTTTTAAAACTTCATTTTAACTATTCATTTACTGAAAATATCGAAACAAACCATCAGAAACAACGAAAATCAACGCGATTTGTCGAGCAAAAATGGGAAATGAGAAGAAAATAACTGGAATCGAGAGCTGAAAATGGAAACTAGTTACTTTTACGAATTGTTTTGTTATTGTTATTGTTTTTATGACCGAAATGCGGTTTTTTGTTTTGTAAAAACTTATGAAAAGTAACGATTTTACAAAAAATTGGCTTTTCATAAGAGTTTTTCTAAAAATTTTCTGGGCATTTTCCGCCGATAACTTACAGTGTACGTGCATGTATTTTTGCGAAATGAGGAACTTTATAATTTGAAACGAGTTCCCTGCGGCTTTTCTTTTCAACTTAAACCCGAGCCTCAAACTAATGACACTAGCGAACGATGACGAACGTTTATTCGAACTTTACTTAAAAACAAAATATTGGTGAAGACTTTTGAACAGTTCACACTTTTGAACAAACAGGAAAGCGAAAGGTTTAAACGGTTTCAAAGTTCACTCGCGGCTTCATTTACTTGTCTCAAGGGAATGCGAGTTGTAGGGAAGAAAGATCATAATTATTCTAGAATATGACTTTTAGTCAAAAAAAAATTGTGAAAAGCGCGCGTCTGATTCATTTTCGAGAATTTTCGTTCGATTTTTTCTGATCTTTCAACTCCATTCCAAGGTATTCCAAAAATGAACGCAACCGAGTGTCCAACGATATCGATATTCTCCGAAAGTCTCTATCTCAAGTTCATGTTCATCGGTCAGATCACCTTTGCCTCAATGGCCATCACGGCGATCGTTGCAACGGCTAGACGGACATTTTCCTCGGTTCTACTCGATTCGGCCTTCAAGGAGCACATCATTTACTGCTATCTGATACATTTACAACAAGCCGTCGCCATGATTTACGCAATGGTGAGTGGTGGAATGGGTTGTGGAACATTTGATACGCGCTCCGCCTCCTTTGCCATTGACAATCTAATTTTGGGCTTAAAACATTTCGTAGAAAGGAGGCAAAAGCCCATTTCACTCGTTATTGAACATGTGATACCCGGGCCTTTGCCATTGTCAATCTAACTTTGAGCTCAAATATCTTGGTATTGGGCTGTCGAATTTAAAATAGTTTTTGTACCAATCGACAGAGAAAAACTTGGCGCATCTAATAATACATAGAATATTTAAAGTTGACAGCCCAATACCAGGATATTTGAGCTCAAAGTTAGATTGCCAAGGGCAAAGGGGCGTAAGATTGGCTTTTGCCTCCTTTCTACGAAATGTTGCTAAGTTAAGGTGGCCGTCTCTGTATCCTTTTTCTTGTTCTAAAAGTAATTGCACTTTCAAAATCATCGTGAAAAGCTGCCAAACTTCTTAACCAGACGACTTTTCCTAGTGGGAAATTCGGGGAAATGAATCTTGTTACTTAAGCAAGTCAGTCATGATTTCAGAAAGAGTTTCACCCACTTTCCACTTACAGGGAATGTTCCTCGTTCTCCATCTCACTCAACCGCCTTGTATGGCCAAGATTTCATACAAATTGTGCTACTATTCGCGGCTTTCCTACACGTTTTCGGTGTTCACTTTGCCGACGTTGAACATGTCGTTGATCGTTTTTCGAATACTCACTTTCTTCGGTGGGGCAAGAGTGCAAAACAGGGAAACGGCTATTCAACGGGGAATTACCACGATAGCGGTTCGTTTGCTGTAGGAACCGTTTGCACTACCGTAAATACTGTAATAGTACCCCACCCCCCACGTACAGTCGCGTAGTCGCAAGTTTTTTAGTATTTCATTTTTTTCAAAGCGCCCGTACTTTCAAAAAATGCGTCTTTGGTATCAAAAAATAGCCCTGAAATTCAGCTATTTTTTTTGATACCTAGGCGCGCATTGTAGCATAAACCAGTGTCGAGAAAAGCGCGTCCAAAGCTAGACTACGCAACGCTCCGCACCGTCATTATGGGGGTGGGGTACTATTACAGTATTTACGGTAGGTGAATCGAATCAAGTTTGATTCTGGTCTCAAAGCACGTCCCGTAATCAGCAGTTCATTTTAAGTTATTGCTTTCCTGCTCGGAATTCTATTGGAAAATCGCCGGCATTGTAGTGCCAGATGTGCAAGTTGCCTTCTGTCGAGGTGCCACGAACAATTCAGATACGGAGGCAAAGGTGACATGCGTTATGGAAGTGCTGACAATAGGCATCTCTCTGTGGTTGATGAGGGAATACGAAAAGGAGAATCGGTTAGTCTAGAGAAAAGGGTACACACGAAACCTGCTCATTTTCGGTCTGATTTTCAATAGGTGTACAACGGAAAACAAGATTTGACCCCTTCATCATTTACTTTTCCAGGGTTTTTTTAGAAGAGCTTGAAAAGCTTTACATTCTGGTAGCAAGAAATCCCAGAAAAGTAGCTGCTGAAGGGGTCAAATCTCGTTTTTCCGTTGTACATCCATTGACAATCAGACTGAAAATGAACAGCTCTAGTGCACATGTCCTGTTGTTCTCAATAGTGAAATCAGGAAATGTATAGAGCGAAGCGATCGTTCGATGTCTGTGTGAATCTGACGCGACGACAATTGATCTCAACGATGCGACTCTTTCTGCCATACAGGTAAATGAGGATGGCTAGTCTTTAGTTTTAAACGTCAAAAGTAAAATAAACAAAGCTTTTTGCTTACAACATCCTTATTTTAGCTTTTTAGGGGCTTATTTTATGACTCATATCTACAGAATCAAAGTTTAACTCAAAAATCAAATTCTAGCCTTTTTCACGCATTCATGTATCTATTCTACACTTTCGTCTTCTTTGGGTGGCGTTATCTGAATCTTCAAGATCCGATTCAATCGGCTGTGGGTGGATTCGTTTTTGTAAGTCCTTAGTGAAGTCATAGAGAAAGATTGGTACTCTTTTCGGTTATCAGGAGGGAGCAAAAGGTTACCGGTCACAGAATAGCCCAGCAATACAAAAGCAAAAGGTCACTTTTGTATTGCTGGGCTATTCTATGTCTCGACAAAACTAATTCAGTTAGTTACTGTAACTAACTGAAAGAGTTTCAACAATAGTCTGAACGCTTGAGTGGGAAAACCATGGAGGAAGTAGCATCATTGAGCGGGTTCCATTAACAGTAAGCTCGTTCTTTCCCAGCTCACTAGCCACTCGCATTTCTAGATTGCAGAGCGACAAATTCTAACGCGCCCTTAACCAAAGAGTACCGAAAAATTGTATGTTAATGCCCCTAATGCCCTCTTTTCAGTGTCCAATGTATTTCACCGCTTTCTCTCCGTGGATCGTTTACACGATCATCGTGAAAAATGAGAACAAACGAATCGAACAAACAAAAGATTTGTTGAATTTGGAGGGAAAAGCTAGGGATCTCTATTTTGCGCACTATCACTCACAATGGTGATTTTATTGGGAATCTTTGAAGTTTTGCGAATTTCGTATAAAATTTTGAATAGATAAAAGCTAGATTAAACGTTTTGCACATCAATCTGAAGTATTGAATGGTACTTGTAACATTTTTGGCTTCAGGCTTCAGGCTTTTTGGCTTCATTTTTGACGTTTTCATGCAAATCAGCTTCCATATGCAAAGTTGAGTAGAAAATTGTAACAAAACTTGAAAAATTAGCGCTTTTGATGCGTTTATTTTTTGTGTTTGAACTAATGTATAGGTTTTGTCTGGGGTTTGGGTTCTGTTCGAATCGGACGCGTGTTTTTATCGTGTTCAAAATTATATTATGTTCAAAAACCCCCCAAAAAAAGTAAGATTTTATTAGTAAAACTTGAATTTCCGAGCCTAAAACAAGACGTCAATGGAAAAAGTACGGTATTTTGACAGGCTTTCAAACGTTTTGACTCAGCAAGACAGGCTTTCAAACGTTTTGACTCAGCAAGACAGGCTTTCAAACGTTTTGACTCAGCAAGACAGGCTTTCAAACGTTTTGACTCAGCAAGACAGGCTTTCAAACGTTTTGACTCAGCAAGACAGGCTTTCAAACGTTTTGACTCAGCAAGACAGGCTTTCAAACGTTTTGACTCAGCAAGACAGGCTTTCAAACGTTTTGACTCAGCAAGACAGGCTTTCAAACGTTTTGACTCAGCAAGACAGGCTTTCAAACGTTTTGACTCAGCAAGACAGGCTTTCAAACGTTTTGACTCAGCAAGACAGGCTTTCAAACGTTTTGACTTACAAACTGACATCAATATAAAAATATCAATATAAATTCTCAAAAATTTCTATCAAAATTACCTATTTTATAAGAGGGACAGAACTTTTCATCCACCTTGTACACCTAAAAAAGACGAGACGATATGTGGTTATTTTTATTTTTTAAAATACAATAATGAAACGAAAAAGATACTGTGTATTAGAAAAATAAGCAAAAATTGTTTCCAATCGCTAAATCGTTCTCCAAAGTGTCCATTTTGTGACCATTCCCTGTGACGTTGTGCTCATCGAAACGACTCGAAAACCTTTCTTTTCGGCTCGATTCAGAAATTCGATTGGAGAGACTTTATCACTTTCCCAGTGTCTAAATTTGGTAGGAAATAAAAGCAAAATTGAACTTGAACTTAGCCAATGATAATTTTCAAATAACACTTAACAACAGCTTGTTGTGAAGCTCGAATTATTAGATATTGACTCAGTAATACTTCTAATAGAAGTACGGTCAATATATTACTGAGTCAATAGAAGTATTGATCTTAAAAGTGACCAGAATGAAGGATATTTTATCAATTTGAAGGACAAGCTCTCAACGTTAGAGTTAAATGTAAAGTGTTCAATAAGATTTTCTTGAATTTCTTAAATAGTAATCAATTTATTGATAAGATTCGCTTATAGAGAGACTGAAAAAAAAGAGATCTAATACGTAAAGAAAGATGAAAAAAAAGATGAATCCCAATGAAAACCCCACTCGAATTCTCCGAGTTTCAACTCTCCCTTTTTCGGGCAAATCTCTCCCAAAGCGGTCATCGATGCATCAATTGTTCGATCACGATTGAAAAGAAGTTCTTTAGCTGGATCCTCGACAGTCACTCGATACATCAATTTGTCTTCATGCACAATGGCTCCCCGGGGATGCATTTGAAATGAGCAAACGGTTACATATGGCATCGTGAAACTGAAAATTCATGTTCAAAGAAACAATCAAAGATTCGATAAAAGACTTTCGACGCTTTGAAAAGCACCAAATTTACATAAGAAACATTTTCCATTCAAAGACAGATTTCTGTTTTCAAAAAAATCAATGAAATTTCAAAGAACTTTATCGTTGAAATTGCATTTTCTTGCATAAAAATCTTTAAAATTTCAAAACTAAAAAGGAAATTTTTCAACAGAAAATCGAAGACTTCAAAATAACCTGTTAACTCAGGTTTATTTTTTGGACTTGGAAATCAACAACTTTTGGAAATCAACTTGGAAATCAACTTGGAAATCAACAACTTTTGGAAATCAACTTGCAAACAAATCCGATCGATTTCTACACACAAACCGTTTTGTTTGCTTTGATGAGTCAGAAAATGATATGAAATGATTTTCAAAATCATTTGGAAAAGATTTCTGTGCTGAATGTGCTGATTTTCAGAAATATAAACCTGAGTTAACAGGTTTTATTTTGAAGTTTTCGATTTTCTTTTGAAAAATTTCCTTTTTAATTCTGAAATCTTAAAGATTTTTATGAAAGAAAATGCAATTTCAACGAAAAAGTTCTTTGAAATTTCATTGATTTTTTGAAAAAGAGAAGCCTGTCTTTCTTATGGAAAATGTTTCTTATGTAAATTTGGCGCTTTTCAAAGCGTCGAAAGTCTTTTATCGAATCTTTGATTGTTTCTTTGAACATGAATTTTCAGTTTCACAATGCCGTATGTAACCGTTTGCTCAGTTCAAATGCATCCCCGGGGAGCCATTGTACATGGAGACAAATTGATGTATCGAGTGACTGTCGAGGATCCAGCTAAAGAACTTTTTCAATCGTGATCGAACAATTGATGCATCGATGACCGCTTTGGGAGAGATTTGCCCGAAAAAGGGAGAGTTGAAACTCGAGAATTCGAGTGGGGTTTTCATTGGGATTCATCTTTTTTCATCTTTCTTTACGTATTAGATCTCTTTTTTCAGTCTCTCTATAAGCGAATCTTATCAATAAATTGATTACTATTTAAGAAATTCAAGAAAATCTTATTGAACACTTTACATTTAACTCTAACGTTGAGAGCTTGTCCTTCAAATTGATAAAATATCCTTCATTCTGGTCACTTTTAAGATCAATACTTATTGACTCAGTAATATATTGACCGTACTTCTATTAGAAGTATTACTGAGTCAATATCTAATAATTCGAGCTTCACAACAAGCTGTTGTTAAGTGTTATTTGAAAATTATCATTGGCTAAGTTCAAGTTCAATTTTGCTTTTATTTCCTACCAAATTTAGACACTGGGAAAGTGATAAAGTCTCTCCAATCGAATTTCTGAATCGAGCCGAAAAGAAAGGTTTTCGAGTCGTTTCGATGAGCACAACGTCACAGGGAATGGTCACAAAATGGACACTTTGGAGAACGATTTAGCGATTGGAAATAATTTTTGCTTATTTTTCTAATACACAGTATCTTTTTCGTTTCATTATTGTATTTAAAAAAATAAAAATAACCACATATCGTCTCGTCTTTTTTAGGTGTACAAGGTGGATGAAAAGTTCTGTCCCTCTTATAAAATAGGTAATTTTGATAGAAATTTTTGAGAATTTATATTGATATTTTTATATTGATGTCAGTTTGTAAGTCAAAACGTTTGAAAGCCTGTCTTGCTGAGTCAAAACGTTTGAAAGCCTGTCTTGCTGAGTCAAAACGTTTGAAAGCCTGTCTTGCTGAGTCAAAACGTTTGAAAGCCTGTCTTGCTGAGTCAAAACGTTTGAAAGCCTGTCTTGCTGAGTCAAAACGTTTGAAAGCCTGTCTTGCTGAGTCAAAACGTTTGAAAGCCTGTCTTGCTGAGTCAAAACGTTTGAAAGCCTGTCTTGCTGAGTCAAAACGTTTGAAAGCCTGTCTTGCTGAGTCAAAACGTTTGAAAGCCTGTCTTGCTGAGTCAAAACGTTTGAAAGCCTGTCTTGCTGAGTCAAAACGTTTGAAAGCCTGTCTTGCTGAGTCAAAACGTTTGAAAGCCTGTCTTGCTGAGTCAAAACGTTTGAAAGCCTGTCTTGCTGAGTCAAAACGTTTGAAAGCCTGTCTTGCTGAGTCAAAACGTTTGAAAGCCTGTCTTGCTGAGTCAAAACGTTTGAAAGCCTGTCTTGCTGAGTCAAAACGTTTGAAAGCCTGTCTTGCTGAGTCAAAACGTTTGAAAGCCTGTCTTGCTGAGTCAAAACGTTTGAAAGCCTGTCAAAATACCGTACTTTTTCCATTGACGTCTTGTTTTAGGCTCGGAAATTCAAGTTTTACTAATAAAATCTTACTTTTTTTGGGGGGTTTTTGAACATAATATAATTTTGAACACGATAAAAACACGCGTCCGATTCGAACAGAACCCAAACCCCAGACAAAACATATACATTAGTTCAAACACAAAAAATAAACGCATCAAAAGCGCTAATTTTTCAAGTTTTGTTACAATTTTCTACTCAACTTTGCATATGGAAGCTGATTTGAATGAAAACGTCAAAAATGAAGCCAAAATGCCTGAAGCCTGAAGCCAAAAATGTTACAAGTACCATTCAATACTTCAGATTGATGTGCAAAACGTTTAATCTAGCTTTTATCTATTCAAAATTTTATACGAAATTCGCAAAACTTCAAAGATTCCCAATAAAATCACCATTGTGAGTGATAGTGCGCAAAATAGAGATCCCTAGCTTTTCCCTCCAAATTCAACAAATCTTTTGTTTGTTCGATTCGTTTGTTCTCATTTTTCACGATGATCGTGTAAACGATCCACGGAGAGAAAGCGGTGAAATACATTGGACACTGAAAAGAGGGCATTAGGGGCATTAACATACGATTTTTCGGTACTCTTTGGTTAAGGGCGCGTTAGAATTTGTCGCTCTGCAATCTAGAAATGCGAGTGACTAGTGAGCCGGGAAAGAACGAGCTTACTGTTAATGGAACCCGCTCAATGATGCTACTTCCTCCATGGTTTTCCCACTCAAGCGTTCAGACTATTGTTGAAACTCTTGCAGTTAGTTACAGTAACTAACTGAATTAGTTTTGCCGAGACGTAGAATAGCCCAGCAATACAAAAGTGACCTTTTGCTTTTGTATTGCTGGGCTATTCTGTGACCGGTAACCTTTTGCTCCCTCCTGATAACCGAAAAGAGTACCAATCTTTCTCTATGACTTCACTAAGGACTTACAAAAACGAATCCACCCACAGCCGATTGAATCGGATCTTGAAGATTCAGATAACGCCACCCAAAGAAGACGAAAGTGTAGAATAGATACATGAATGCGTGAAAAAGGCTAGAATTTGATTTTTGAGTTAAACTTTGATTCTGTAGATATGAGTCATAAAATAAGCCCCTAAAAAGCTAAAATAAGGATGTTGTAAGCAAAAAGCTTTGTTTATTTTACTTTTGACGTTTAAAACTAAAGACTAGCCATCCTCATTTACCTGTATGGCAGAAAGAGTCGCATCGTTGAGATCAATTGTCGTCGTGTCAGATTCACACAGACATCGAACGATCGCTTCGCTCTATACATTTCCTGATTTCACTATTGAGAACAACAGGACATGTGCACTAGAGCTGTTCATTTTCAGTCTGATTGTCAATGGATGTACAACGGAAAAACGAGATTTGACCCCTTCAGCAGCTACTTTTCTGGGATTTCTTGCTACCAGAATGTAAAGCTTTTCAAGCTCCATCTTTTATTCTAAAAAAACCCTGGAAAAGTAAATGATGAAGGGGTCAAATCTTATTTTTCCGTTGTACACCTATTGAAAATCAGACCGAAAATGAGCAGGTTTAGTGTGTACCCTTTTCTCTAGACTAACCGATTCTCCTTTTCGTATTCCCTCATCAGCCACAGAGAGATGCCTATCGTCAGCATTTCCATAACGCATGTCACCTTTGTCTCCGTATCTGAATTGTTCGTGGCACCTCGACAGAAGGAAACTTGCACATCTGGCACTACAATGCCGGCGATTTTCCAATAGAATTCCGAGCACGAAAGCAATAGCTTAAAATGAACTGCTAATTACGGGACGTGCTTTGAGACCACCTAGTGCAAACGATTCCTACAGCAAACGAACCGCTATCGTGGTAATTCCCTGTTGAATGGCCGTTTCCCTGTTTTGCACTCTTGCCCCACCGAAGAAAGTGAGTATTCGAAAAACGACCAACGACATGTTCAATGTCGGCAAAGTGAACACCGAAAACGTGTAGGAAAGCCGCGAATAGTAGCACAATTTGTATGAAATCTTGGCCATACAAGACAGTTGAGTGAGATGGAGAACGAGGAACATTCCCTGTAAGTGGAAATGGGTGAAACTCTTTCTGAAATCATGACTGACTTGCTTCAGTAACAAGATTCACGTTTGGAAGCCCCCGAATTTCCCACTAGGAAAAGTCGTCTGGTTAAGAAGTTTGGCAGCTTTTCACGAGGATTTTGAATGTGCAATTACTTTTAGAACAAGAAAAAGGATACAGAGACGGCCACCTTAACTTAGCAACATTTCGTAGAAAGGAGGCAAAAGCCCATCTCACTCGTTATTGAACATTTGATACCCGCCCCTTTGCCATTGGCAATCTAACTTTGAGCGCAAATATTCTGGTATCGGGCTGTCGACTTTAAATATTCAATGTATTATTAGATGCGCCAATTCTTTCTCTGTCGACTGGTACAAAAACTATTTTAAATTGGACAGCCCAATACCAAGATATTTAAGCCCAAAATTAGATTGCCAATGGCAAGGAAGCGGAGCGCGTATCAAATATTTCACAATCCATTCCACCACTCACCATTGCGTAAATCATGGCGACGGCTTGTTGTAAATGTATCAGATAGCAGCAAATGATGTGCTCCTTGAAGGTCGAATCGAGTAGAACCGAGGAAAATGTCCGTCTAGCCGTTGAAACGAGCGCCGTGATGGCCATTGAGGCAAAGGTGATCTGACCGATGAACATGAACTTGAGATAGAGATTTTCGGAGAACAGCGATATCGTTGGACACTCGGTTGCGTTCATTTTTGGAATGCCTTGGAACGGAGTTAAAAGATCAGAAAAATCGGACGAAAATTCTCGAAAATGAATCAGACGCGCGCTTTTCACAATTTTTTTTGACTAAAAGTCATATTCTAGAATAATTATGATCTTTCTTCCCCTACAACTCGCATTCCCTTGAGACAAGTAAATGAAGCCGCGTGTGATCTTTGAAACCGTTTAAACCTTTCGCTTCCCTGTTTGGAGACATTCTGAACTGTTCAAAAGTCGTCACCAATATTTTGTTTTTAAGTAAAGTTCGAATAAACGTTCGTCATCGTTCGCTAGTGTCATTAGTTTGAGGTACGGGTTTAAGCGTGAACGCCGAAGTTGAAAAACTATAAAGGAACTATAAAGGAACTAAATAGGAACTATAAAGGAACCAAATAGGAACTATAAAGGAAAAAGTTGAAGTTGAAAAACAGGGAACTCGTTTCAAATTATAAAGTTCCTTATTTCGCAAAAATACATGCACGGTACGTGTGTAAATTGGGTGTGTAAATTGAACGATTTTTCGGCGTAAGAGTTGCAAAAAAACATTGCATTCGCATACTTTCTTGGGTGCAAATCAAATGACTCAATTTCAAAATATATTGAGTTTCCAATGGTCAAAACATCATTAAAAAACAGCACATTGTCCGATGGTGCTAAAAGACAAACATTTCCCATTCAAAACAGAAAGTAATGCCAAAATATTTATTGCTCATTCAATGTGTTTTTTCATGGTTCGGGTCCCCAATCTGCGTATTTCTCGAACGAGGCTCCTCCATCACAATCCGCACACATATTCGAGTAGGCTCCATCGTCACGGATCTCCCAGCTCGTCACGTCATTTCCATCGACGCCCTCGTTGTTTCCCGGACCGTCACAGCCTGTAAAATAATATACTTTAAACATTAAGCCTTTTAAAAATGTGCCTTTAAAGCTTATCCACAAGTTTTGCAAACAAGTCTTTTCGCCTCTTTTTCATAATTCTTTTTGAAACCAACGAATGCACCAGTTGAACTACGGTTTATTCCATTAGAAAGGTAAATCATTTTTCTACACTATTCGTTCCTAGGTATAAACGGATGTGGACTAGAATTTGGGTTAAGTTAAAGAGAGTGGATCCCTTTTGATATCCCGCCATCTCTAACACCCCGACAACCCAACTCAACTCCTCCAACGTATTAGAGGGGAGTCCCTGCGAAATGACCGACCTGTACTGCAGTTGCATAGACCCGGAAGATATGTATCTTTATTTACAGTAGTATAATAAGACGAATAGATTACAAATAAGTGTAAGGGGAAGGGGGGACTCCAAATGAGAGTCTCACTTGTCCTCCTAGGCAATCCCAAGGACCGCCCCTTCTCGACAATAAAAGGGATAAGCACAGGGGA